AAATAAACTTACATTAGAGGAGTAGCAGGGGAGCTGTGTCTCTAACTAAACTTACATTAGAGGAGTAGCAGGGGAGCTGTGTCTCTAACTAAACTTACATTAGAGGAGTGGCAGGGGAGCTGTGTCTCTAAATAAACTTACATTAGAGGAGTAGCAGGGGAGCTGTGTCTCTAACTAAACTTACATTAGAGGAGTAGCAGGGGAGCTGTGTCTCTAAATAAACTTACATTAGAGGAGTAGCAGGGGAGCTGTGTCTCTAACTAAACTTACATTAGAGGAGTGGCAGGGGAGCTGTGTCTCTAAATAAACTTACATTAGAGGAGTAGCAGGGGAGCTGTGTCTCTAACTAAACTTACATTAGAGGAGTAGCAGGGGAGCTGTGTCTCTAAATAAACTTACATTAGAGGAGTAGCAGGGGAGCTGTGTCTCTAACTAAACTTACATTAGAGGAGTGGCAGGGGAGCTGTGTCTCTAACTAAACTTACATTAGAGGAGTAGCAGGGGAGCTGTGTCTCTAACTAAACTTACATTAGAGGAGTAGCAGGGGAGCTGTGTCTCTAAATAAACTTACATTAGAGGAGTAGCAGGGGAGCTGTGTCTCTAACTAAACTTACATTAGAGGAGTAGCAGGGGAGCTGTGTCTCTAAATAAACTTACATTAGAGGAGTAGCAGGGGAGCTGTGTCTCTAACTAAACTTACATTAGAGTAGTAGCAGGGGAGCTGTGTCTCTAAATAAACTTACATTAGAGGAGTAGCAGGGGAGCTGTGTCTCTAAATAAACTTACATTAGAGTAGTAGCAGGGGAGCTGTGTCTCTAAATAAACTTACATTAGAGTAGTAGCAGGGGAGCTGTGTCTCTAAATAAACTTACATTAGAGGAGTAGCAGGGGAGCTGTGTCTCTAACTAAACTTACATTAGAGGAGTAGCAGGGGAGCTGTGTCTCTAAATAAACTTACATTAGAGGAGTAGCAGGGGAGCTGTGTCTCTAACTAAACTTACATTAGAGGAGTAGCAGGGGAGCTGTGTCTCTAAATAAACTTACATTAGAGGAGTAGCAGGGGAGCTGTGTCTCTAACTAAACTTACATTAGAGGAGTAGCAGGGGAGCTGTGTCTCTAACTAAACTTACATTAGAGGAGTAGCAGGGGAGCTGTGTCTCTAAATAAACTTACATTAGAGGAGTAGCAGGGGAGCTGTGTCTCTAACTAAACTTACATTAGAGGAGTAGCAGGGGAGCTGTGTCTCTAACTAAACTTACATTAGAGGAGTAGCAGGGGAGCTGTGTCTCTAACTAAACTTACATTAGAGGAGTAGCAGGGGAGCTGTGTCTCTAACTAAACTTACATTAGAGGAGTAGCAGGGGAGCTGTGTCTCTAACTAAACTTACATTAGAGGAGTAGCAGGGGAGCTGTGTCTCTAACTAAACTTACATTAGAGGAGTAGCAGGGGAGCTGTGTCTCTAACTAAACTTACATTAGAGGAGTAGCAGGGGAGCTGTGTCTCTAAATAAACTTACATTAGAGGAGTAGCAGGGGAGCTGTGTCTCTAAATAAACTTACATTAGAGGAGTAGCAGGGGAGCTGTGTCTCTAACTAAACTTACATTAGAGGAGTAGCAGGGGAGCTGTGTCTCTAACTAAACTTACATTAGAGGAGTAGCAGGGGAGCTGTGTCTCTAACTAAACTTACATTAGAGGAGTAGCAGGGGAGCTGTGTCTCTAAATAAACTTACATTAGAGGAGTAGCAGGGGAGCTGTGTCTCTAACTAAACTTACATTAGAGGAGTAGCAGGGGAGCTGTGTCTCTAACTAAACTTACATTAGAGGAGTAGCAGGGGAGCTGTGTCTCTAACTAAACTTACATTAGAGGAGTAGCAGGGGAGCTGTGTCTCTAACTAAACTTACATTAGAGGAGTAGCAGGGGAGCTGTGTCTCTAAATAAACTTACATTAGAGGAGTAGCAGGGGAGCTGTGTCTCTAACTAAACTTACATTAGAGGAGTAGCAGGGGAGCTGTGTCTCTAAATAAACTTACATTAGAGGAGTAGCAGGGGAGCTGTGTCTCTAAATAAACTTACATTAGAGGAGTAGCAGGGGAGCTGTGTCTCTAAATAAACTTACATTAGAGGAGTAGCAGGGGAGCTGTGTCTCTAAATAAACTTACATTAGAGGAGTAGCAGGGGAGCTGTGTCTCTAAATAAACTTACATTAGAGGAGTAGCAGGGGAGCTGTGTCTCTAAATAAACTTACATTAGAGGAGTAGCAGGGGAGCTGTGTCTCTAAATAAACTTACATTAGAGGAGTAGCAGGGGAGCTGTGTCTCTAAATAAACTTACATTAGAGGAGTAGCAGGGGAGCTGTGTCTCTAAATAAACTTACATTAGAGGAGTAGCAGGGGAGCTGTGTCTCCAACTAAACTTACATTAGAGGAGTAGCAGGGGAGCTGTGTCTCTAAATAAACTTACATTAGAGGAGTAGCAGGGGAGCTGTGTCTCTAAATAAACTTACATTAGAGGAGTAGCAGGGGAGCTGTGTCTCTAACTAAACTTACATTAGAGGAGTAGCAGGGGAGCTGTGTCTCTAACTAAACTTACATTAGAGGAGTAGCAGGGGAGCTTTGTCTCTAACTAAACTTACATTAGAGGAGTAGCAGGGGAGCTGTGTCTCTAAATAAACTTACATTAGAGGAGTAGCAGGGGAGCTGTGTCTCTAAATAAACTTACATTAGAGGAGTAGCAGGGGAGCTGTGTCTCTAAATAAACTTACATTAGAGGAGTAGCAGGGGAGCTGTGTCTCCAACTAAACTTACATTAGAGGAGTAGCAGGGGAGCTGTGTCTCTAAATAAACTTACATTAGAGGAGTAGCAGGGGAGCTGTGTCTCTAACTAAACTTACATTAGAGGAGTAGCAGGGGAGCTGTGTCTCTAACTAAACTTACATTAGAGGAGTAGCAGGGGAGCTGTGTCTCTAACTAAACTTACATTAGAGGAGTAGCAGGGGAGCTGTGTCTCTAACTAAACTTACATTAGAGGAGTAGCAGGGGAGCTGTGTCTCTAAATAAACTTACATTAGAGGAGTAGCAGGGGAGCTGTGTCTCTAACTAAACTTACATTAGAGGAGTAGCAGGGGAGCTGTGTCTCTAACTAAACTTACATTAGAGGAGTAGCAGGGGAGCTGTGTCTCTAAATAAACTTACATTAGAGGAGTAGCAGGGGAGCTGTGTCTCTAACTAAACTTACATTAGAGGAGTAGCAGGGGAGCTGTGTCTCTAAATAAACTTACATTAGAGGAGTAGCAGGGGAGCTGTGTCTCTAACTAAACTTACATTAGAGGAGTAGCAGGGGAGCTGTGTCTCTAAATAAACTTACATTAGAGGAGTAGCAGGGGAGCTGTGTCTCTAAATAAACTTACATTAGAGGAGTAGCAGGGGAGCTGTGTCTCTAAATAAACTTACATTAGAGGAGTAGCAGGGGAGCTGTGTCTCTAAATAAACTTACATTAGAGGAGTAGCAGGGGAGCTGTGTCTCTAAATAAACTTACATTAGAGGAGTAGCAGGGGAGCTGTGTCTCTAAATAAACTTACATTAGAGGAGTAGCAGGGGAGCTGTGTCTCTAAATAAACTTACATTAGAGGAGTAGCAGGGGAGCTGTGTCTCTAAATAAACTTACATTAGAGGAGTAGCAGGGGAGCTGTGTCTCTAAATAAACTTACATTAGAGGAGTAGCAGGGGAGCTGTGTCTCCAACTAAACTTACATTAGAGGAGTAGCAGGGGAGCTGTGTCTCTAAATAAACTTACATTAGAGGAGTAGCAGGGGAGCTGTGTCTCCAACTAAACTTACATTAGAGGAGTAGCAGGGGAGCTGTGTCTCTAAATAAACTTACATTAGAGGAGTAGCAGGGGAGCTGTGTCTCTAAATAAACTTACATTAGAGGAGTAGCAGGGGAGCTGTGTCTCTAACTAAACTTACATTAGGGGAGTAGCAGGGGAGCTGTGTCTCTAAATAAACTTACATTAGAGGAGTAGCAGGGGAGCTGTGTCTCTAAATAAACTTACATTAGAGGAGTAGCAGGGGAGCTGTGTCTCTAAATAAACTTACATTAGAGGAGTAGCAGGGGAGCTGTGTCTCTAAATAAACTTACATTAGAGGAGTAGCAGGGGAGCTGTGTCTCTAAATAAACTTACATTAGAGGAGTAGCAGGGGAGCTGTGTCTCTAAATAAACTTACATTAGAGGAGTAGCAGGGGAGCTGTGTCTCCAACTAAACTTACATTAGAGGAGTAGCAGGGGAGCTGTGTCTCTAACTAAACTTACATTAGAGGAGTAGCAGGGGAGCTGTGTCTCTAAATAAACTTACATTAGAGGAGTAGCAGGGGAGCTGTGTCTCTAACTAAACTTACATTAGGGGAGTAGCAGGGGAGCTGTGTCTCTAAATAAACTTACATTAGAGGAGTAGCAGGGGAGCTGTGTCTCTAAATAAACTTACATTAGAGGAGTAGCAGGGAAGCTGTGTCTCTAAATAAACTTACATTAGAGGAGTAGCAGGGGAGCTGTGTCTCTAAATAAACTTACATTAGAGGAGTAGCAGGGGAGCTGTGTCTCTAACTAAACTTACATTAGAGGAGTAGCAGGGGAGCTGTGTCTCTAACTAAACTTACATTAGAGGAGTAGCAGGGGAGCTGTGTCTCTAACTAAACTTACATTAGAGGAGTAGCAGGGGAGCTGTGTCTCTAACTAAACTTACATTAGAGGAGTAGCAGGGGAGCTGTGTCTCTAACTAAACTTACATTAGAGGAGTAGCAGGGGAGCTGTGTCTCTAAATAAACTTACATTAGAGGAGTAGCAGGGGAGCTGTGTCTCTAACTAAACTTACATTAGAGGAGTAGCAGGGGAGCTGTGTCTCTAAATAAACTTACATTAGAGGAGTAGCAGGGGAGCTGTGTCTCTAACTAAACTTACATTAGAGGAGTAGCAGGGGAGCTGTGTCTCTAAATAAACTTACATTAGAGGAGTAGCAGGGGAGCTGTGTCTGCCGTTCAGGGTGAGTGCTGTGATCTGCTCTATTGTCTTGGACTCCTGCTCGTCTGCAATAGAGGTCCCCACTCCACTCGTACTCTCCGTCATCTCACCACTCAGCGAGGTCTGGGATGTGAGGGGTTAGTGAGGGGTCGGGGAATGGAGGGGTTAGTGAGGGGTCGGGGAAGTGAGGGGTTAGTGAGGGGTCGGGGAACTGAGGGGTTAGTGAGGGGTCGGGGAACTGAGGGGTTAGTGAGGGGTCGGGGAACGGAGGGGTTAGTGAGGAGTCGGGGAACGGAGGGGTTAGTGAGGGGTCGGGGAACTGAGGGGTTAGTGCGGGGTCGGGGAACTGAGGGTTAGTGCGGGGTCGGGGAACTGAGGGGTTAGTGAGGGGTCGGGGAACGGAGGAGTTAGTGAGGGGTCGGGGATGTGAGGGGTTAGTGAGGGGTCGGGGAACGGGGGGTTAGAGAGAGGTCGGGGAACTGAGGGGTGAGTGAGGGGTTATGGAACTGATGGGTTAGTGGGGGGTCGGGGAACTGAGGGGTTAGTGAGGGGTCGTGGAACTGAGGGGTTAGTGCGGGGTCGGGGAACTGAGGGGTTAGTGCGGGGTCGGGGAACTGAGGGGTTAGTGAGGGGTCGGGGAACGGAGGGGTTAGTGAGGGGTCGGGGATGTGAGGGGTTAGTGAGGGGTCTGGGATGTGAGGGGTTAGTGAGGGGTCGGGGAACGAGGGTTAATGAGGGGTCGGGGAACTGAGGGGTCGGTGAGGGGTCGGTGAACTGAGGGGTTAGTGAGGGGTCGAGGAACTGAGGGGTTAGTGAGGGGTCGGGGAACTGAGGGGTTAGTGAGGTGTCGGGGAACTGAGGGGTTAGTGAGGTGTCGGGGAACTGATGGGTTAGTGAGGGGTCGGGGAACTGAGGGGTGAGTGAGGGGTTATGGAACTGATGGGTTAGTGGGGGGTCGGGGAACTGAGGGGTTTGTGAGGGGTCGGGTAACTGAGGGGTTAGTGAGGGGTCGTTGAACTGATGGGTTAGTGAGGGGTCGGGGAACTGAGGGGCTAGTGAGGGGTCGTTGAACTGATGGGTTAGTCTGGAGACTGGATGGGGATTATTTAAAACATATAAGTGATACGAAAAGTTTGTTTTAGCAGGAGCTTTCAAAATACATGTGTAAATCGTCTTCAGCTGGGGATGATGTTGTAAAGAGGTGATGGGTTAGTGAGGGGTCGGGGAACCGAGGGGTTAGTGAGGGGTCGTGGAACTGAGGGGATGTGAGGGGGTTATTTGAGATTCTAGAAGTGTTCGAAGCTTGTTATCAGATGACTAAGTACTGTAGGTTATCAACAACTTCCACTCTTCAATATCGGTGAGATAAGAAAAATTTGTTTGTGTCGAGTCATGAATTTTAAAATGACAGATGATTATTGATTAACCACGTAACCCAAATAACTTACGTTGGAAACTTTAGCAGCGAGGTGTTGTTCTTTGTCCCGCATCAACAGATGATAAATAGCTGATATCCAGTCCAGCCTGTTCTCGTCTATAGCTCGTTTAATGTCAGACTGGTTGACTTTTAGCAGTCGTGACATCTGGTGTATTACCTGGCAAAAGGGGGTTTAGGTGGGATCGGGAGAGTGCGTGATTATTTGATCTGAGATGTTTGGAGGGACCCCCGGCAAAGTCTGACAAATTTTATTTTTAACGAGAGTTTTTGACAAATTTTTTACGGGTAATATTGACAAAGTTTATTTTTTAACGAGAGATTTTGACAAATTTTATTTCAAAGAGATTTGAAAAAGCCGAAAAATGCCCAGCACAAACACAGTTTATGTTGTTGAACAAAACTGCCCTCCTATAATGACCTACCTGTTTTTCTAAGGCATCATTACACTTGGGGGTAATGTAAGGGTAAAGAGGCCACGTTCCCTTGTTCGTTACCCATGGCAACCTGGTTACCTGGTTACCTGGTTACCTGGTTACCTGGTTACCTGGTACTGAAGTGACCTACCTGTTTTTCTAAGGCATCATTACACTTGGGGGTAATGTAAGGGTAAAGAGGCCACGTTCCCTTGTTCGTAACCCACGGGTGTTGCATTACAGCAGTCAGCTTCAGCCTTTTACAGGGGTCTGGTTGTAACATCCCTTTTATCAGATTTAGACACGCTGAAATAGGATCTTTATCAGTTGTTACTCTTCAGAAAAGAATGGTGTGTAAACCTCAGATATGAAATATAATAATGGAAGATAAGCTTTAAATTAATGAGCAATCATGTAATAAGCATCCAAATTCCTGATAAACCATTCAATTTATTTTTGAAACCCAACCTCCTTCTCCAAAAACTCATGATACTCACAGGGATGAAGATGAGCGGCATCCTGGTTACCTGGTTACCTGGTTACCTGGTTACCTGGTTACCTGGTTACCTGGTTACCTGGTTACCTGGTTACCTGGTTACCTGGTTACCTGGTTACCTGGTTACCTGGTTACCTGGTTACCTGGTACTGAAGTACATCATACTCACAGGGTTGAAGATGAGCGGCATCCTGGTTACCTGGTTACCTGGTTACCTGGTTACCTGGTTACCTGGTTACCTGGTTACCTGGTTACCTGGTTACCTGGTTACCTGGTACTGAAGTACATTATACTCACAGGGATGAAGATGAGCGGCATCAGCCTCCTGATGAGCGCCCAGCCCGGCTGATATCTGTTGAAGGAGCTTGGCTCGGGGGTTGCTGTGGTTCCGGGAGGATCTGAAGGGCAGTTTACCGACTAACATGGCGTACATGTTCACACCTAAACTCCACACGTCAACCTGTAGGGGAAATTTCAGTAACACATTATTCATTATTCATTGTTATTGCTCGATCAGAACGTAATCCTTGTAGCTATTTACTCATTTAATTTACTTATTTCATTTCATTTAGCCTGAAGGTTTTGACATGATGGTCTGACTCTGGAGTCTGGATTGGGGCAGATAAAGAACCCACCATTTTTATAACTGTTACTGAAGGAAGTTGGGACAAACTCTAAAGAGGAACTGCGAACCCTGATGTGGGACAAGGATATATGGAGGGGGTTATCTGGCGTCGATCGGACTTAGTTCCGACATAGTAGTAGTAGTAGAAGTGTTTAAAAAAAACGTCTCTCACACTCAACAATGCACTTGTTAAAAGACAAACCTCAGCGCCGTACTGTCGGCCAGCAACAAATAACTCCGGAGCAGCATACTCTGGAGAGCCGCAATGTGTGGACAACAGTTCTCCGACCTCGTGGTGATTACTCAAACCAAAATCTGGGGATGTGTTTGGTGAGTGCTGTTGCCATGACTCCCAAATTTATAGCGTAGTACCTAAATAGTAAATACTGATTACTGTGGGTCGGTACTGCTAGGTGAATCTTTCCTCTCGAACAAGTCCTTGGTTAGAAACGCATATGCCTGATGGATGTGACGATTGATAAACTAGGGTTTTTTATGACATTGCCCTGTTCAAGTTTCAAATTTCAATTTTCAACAATCCTTTGTTTACAAATCGTCCAGTACGTGAAAGTACGGACTATAATCCTATAAGCCGCGCACTGCACATCTGGCCCGATTTCAGATTTGCATACAAATCCGTTCAGCTCAGTCTTATCAACAAAATATATCAGATAGGTGTGATTCAACCAGCATGAGGTGTCCCAAAGAAGAGAAAAGGATCATATCAGAATCCGAAAGTATTTCATGGGGCACACGACTTTCAATAGTCCGAATACAGAATTTCTCGTCATGTCACACTGGGCGCTGAGTTGCTTCATATTTTCATTTTAAAATAAGTTTCGCGCGTTCCATACACTACAAATCGTGATTAAATGTAGACGATTGGCCCCTGGACCAATGGCTGTGCAATTAATATCCACCACGGTCATCATGATTTGCTTGTACAAGCAGATGCGAGTGTAATTAGTGAGGCTCTTGAACAGTTTACCATATTTATACGTGGTATATTCAACTTACATGGTTATTATTTGGCTCACGTGCCAGTTGGCACACAAGTAACGACAAGTCAACCGATATGTTAATAACAGCTCTACGAGAAGTTTGGGCGGCCTGATACCTGCAAATTGGTTGACTATACATACTTACCGTGAACCGGGTTTTAGGGTCACCAAAATCGTGGTTCCAGGTTACAGGATAAGAAATTAGAATATTTAGGGCGTGGTTTCGGTTGCAGGCATTCAGAATTATTGCTTTGTGATCAAAATGTGCTAAAAATAGGATCAGTAAACTTGAACAGCGAGTTAAGGGATAATGATGCTAATGAGGGTGAAAGAGCAAGATTCCAATACTTAACCTTATAATTAGAGCTATTACGACCATATTCGTGGCAATTTGATCTCCCCGATCACACACGAGAATATTGGACTGAACATTGGTTCACTTGCTAATGAAACATTCTTTATCTTGACAGGGGTAGTGTGAAGTTTTATTGGATAGAAGATAAAAGTGATTTGAAACCTCTCAACTCTTTCTAGAAATTAACCATTCTTGTTTGTGATTGGACAAAATCTATGCCCTCCGTGAGGCTCGAACTCACGACCTTCAGATTATGAGACTGACGCTCTAACCAACTGAGCCAGGAAGGCGCTGACACAATAAGAAATGAAGTTTTACTATAAACACGACTAATCAGGATTAAACAATCCACAGTCTGATAACCGATGTAATATCTGACTATTTGACTGAAAAAAAGTATTTATGCCCGAGGGAAAAAATAGATGATATATTTAGATGCAGTATGTATTTTATATCTGATGCCATTTTACTGACAACACAATCTCCATTCTCAATAGCGCGGAACCATATATTCCAAAATTTCAAATTTGAAAGCAAGTTGTTTTCTCGATTATTTTGCTTCGAATTTAAATGATTGTGTTTGGCTCAGTCCTCTGAGTGATAATCAGTCGTGAGCTGCGTTGAACTTTAGAAAAACGATAAGATCAATTATCGAAGAAAGAGAACGATAAAACCCAAAAGGATAGAGGCGAAGAGAGAAGAAACTTGCCAATTAAATGACTCACCGATTATTTTAACTTCAGTCTTCTTTTTGTTGAGCAGGATGTTTTCCATCTTCAAATCTCTGAAGTAAACTTTGGTCAAATATTGGCAAATCATAATTATCCCTGTAACGACGGAGCTAGGGTGCTGTCTTTCTCCAACTATTTTGGAAACTCTAGAGAAATGCATAATGACAGCGTTTGTAATACCGCGGAACATTCTACCGAGGAAAGGCACATAACCACCTGCTGATAAGACCATCGGAATAATTGATTAGTTCTGGGGAACCACCACCAATAAACGATCCTATAAGAAAACGATCTACGTATTTTACCACTTGATTCAGCAAATATTACTATCATCTGAGATAACAGGCCTAAACACACTGTAGGTACCTTTGCCTCCTCCCCCCATCCCAACTCTCTTTTAAAATCATTTGCCGACTAATTTTCTCTTTTTTGACTTAATCACAATAGAACTTATAATGTATCCCTATTACTGTTGCATAGATTTTAGTGATCAGGAATATTTAACTTATCTAAATGATTCAATTTAGAATAATCAGGAACTTAAAACTATGGACTTAACAGTTTGATTCCTGCAACGAATCCATAAATCTTTAAACGTTACCTGTGAACGATTACTCCTTCATAAATCTAACGTTACCTGTGAACGCATTACTCCTTCATAAATCTAACGTTACCTGTGAACGATTACTCCTTCATAAATCTAACGTTACCTGTGAACGATTACTCCTTCATAAATCTAACGTTACCTGTGAACGATTACTCCTTCATAAATCTAACGTTACCTGTGAACGATTACTCCTTCATAAATCTAACGTTACCTGTGAACGATGCCCTTGCTATGAAGATAGTATAGAGCTGATATGAGTTGGCGTACGAAAGGTCTCGCCTTTGCCTCCTCAAGACGCTTGTGTTCGTTGTTGTTCTTGACGAATGTCAGCAACTCTCCCCCTTCAGCTAATTCCATTACCAGGCAATAAAGCGTGTGGGACTGCGTCGTGTACTGGAATTGGGGAGAAAGTTAGTATTGAGCTCAATCTTATTGATTATTTAGTGTGGATTAATATTGATAACTATCTCACAGATCATGCTATGTTCACTGACTTCAGTTAAAAATCACATTTACAAGCTATATTGATACATCATGCTTGCAAACCATATTCCCACTTCACAGACCACCCTTAAGACAGAGGCAACATATAGGCATCGCACTATTTGCAAAATATAACCGCACTTACATATTGCCTCTGCCTTAATACCGTGATCATACTTCACAGATCATGTTCACAGACCAATGCATATATTATATTATTAAGAATTACGCCTAAAAGCTGAAATCCAGAATACAATATGAATATCTCGTTATCACAATAATTCCTGAAACAGGAGTTCTCGTGATAAAGAGAGAGTCCTGATCTCTCTAAGCAGTCGTGTTCTCACTCCTTATATGGGCATCACGTCATCACGTGTAAAATAATGAGAATATCATATTATCACAAATATTTGTAATTTATGGGGCCAGGTACAAAAATGGGCAAGGATATTCAATCATATAACTCCTATTTCTTTTTCAATAAAATAGTTACGATATTCTTGCGGAGTCAATATTATCATAAAAATATTCTATCGTTATTACGTGAGGTGATTGGCATGAAATAATAGAAATATTATAATTCATATATATCAACATAAGGAATGCCTTCAGTCTGGGCAAATGATTATTGATTACCTATATAAACAAACTCAAATAGATTTTCACTGGTTATTTTTGTAAATCTAGTCATCATTTGTTCACGATGCAGGTAATCTTTAAAGTCTGCAAACAAAAGTTAGTAAAATTTATGAAGTTTTTAAAGATCATGAAGTCCATACAATATAGCACTTGAACATTAAATTATTTGTTACATATTAGTATTGTTAACATTAAAATAGTCCACTTCGTTAGCGTCACAAGTTGTATTCGTAATAAACCACGCCCTGCTCTAAAATTCGTTACATCCTTCAATGCTTTTACTTGAGTCCGATACAGAGACTTTAATAGTTTAATGGCCAATAAGAGGACATTATCTGATAAAATCTTAAAATGAGCCCTTTGAGCAGCTCAAATAGAGACCTATTTAACAGTTGCGTTGTGACGTTGTGACGTAAAGAATAAATCTACTAACTGCAAGTCACTGTGAGTAAAATAGAAGGACACCACCACCGTTACCATAGTAACTATTAATAGTGTTACATCTCTCTCTCCGCCACCGGCTTGTTACACTATTAATAGTGTTACATCTTTACATAGAAACTTAGGGTCTAGAATAAACTACCGGGTAGACCCTACACTGGTACTAAAAGTAAGGTTTTAGTAAAGTAGCTTTTTACTTCTGGTGTACATTATACCTGTGGTTGTCTCAGAGGCTGAGCCTCGGAAGAAGTTTGGCCTTCTTGTTAACAAAGTACCTCGTGATCCTTCATCCTCTCAGAAGATCATATTATCACGAGGTACTAACTAGACTGTGTATAATAATAATTAATGCTCTCACTCCTTATATGGGCATCACGTGTAACACTGTCATGTGAATATGTCTCATTACATCGCCAATAGCTTCTCTACTTTAATTAATCACTATAATTAACATTACAACAAAAATAATACGTTAAACTTCAAGTTTATTGCTCGACGAGTTTATTAATACTCTTACCCTGATTTACTGCTAGTAAGAAAGGTATACTACATGTTCAGTTTGTACTTTTGTAGGGAAACAGACAGGAATATGACCGGTTGTGCTGTGTGCAAGTATTGTATTAGTAAGTATTGTGTAGGGAAGTCATTTTTAAGTTAGTATTATAGAAATTTGGTTTAAGTTGTCCTTACGAACGACTTTTGTACATTTCATTTTCTGTAAATTCTGAAAGTCAATGCCAACTGCACTCATCTTCAGCTATAACAGTAACACATAAGCTGCACTGTAATATCTTATGCATGATCTAGATCTCTTTTCGAGTGCATTTGACGAGCAGAATTAAAATATTTGTTTTATATTGTGGTTTTAATTCTTTAATGCTGCCAATCTCAGTAAATTATGAAATAATGGGAGTGAAGTACATGAATTCATTCACACCATGTTTTATAACTGATTTGTTAACATGCCCAGTTAACATACATCCAGTTGAGCTATACCAGTTCTAAATTCATGCTACAATTCAACCAAAATCAGTACACAACCCCATTAAGTTCTATTCACACACTTACACCACGATTATTGATCATGTGACGTCATCACAACACCACGTGACGTCATCACAACACCACGTGACGTCATCACAACACCACGTGACGTCATCACAACACCACGTGACGTCATCACAACACCACGTGAATTTAATAAAATTACAGTTAAAATGTGTTACACTCCACACAGACAGCATGAGACACAACATCACAGCAGCTGCAGATCACACTTTATTATATGGCATAGTTACAACAAGTGTAGTTACACGTGACTAACATTACGAGGTAAACATAATCCCCCGCCTGAACGGGCATAATGTTGGTAAAACCGGCTGGGTAAATGGCTGGTCATTAATGGAATTTGGCTGACCAGGACCTACACAGTGGTTGTTGTTGTTGTTGGTCACACTGCAACTGGTCACACTGGTCACACTAGTCACACTAGTCACAGCTGGTCACACTGGTCACACTGGTCAGAAGTCCGGAAATTGGGCTGGTAAATATTGTGAAGATGTGTGCACGCGTGTGTTATGTATGTATGTGTGTGATGATTTGTGGATTTGCAACTTGCTGTAAAACTGTTATCGTGAAGCTAATAAAACCACCGAGTGACAAAAATATTAAAAGAGATCTGTAACATCCCCAATAATACTAATTATTTGTCTGTGAATTCAGTTTAAAAAGTCTAGAGAAATAAAACTAACTAAGCGATGTAACCAGGTAACCAGGTTACCAGATGCTGCACTGTTTGCTCAACCGCAAGCAAACAGTGAAAATCATGGAAATTTTCTAAAAATCGACTTTTTAGTTGTTTCTGATAGAGGGGAGTGATATCTATCAGATGCTTTTAATCCGATAGAAAAATATTGCTCCTAGCCGAAATTATCGCCGGTAAAAGGTCAGTGCTTGTGTGTAATTGTATTGCACGAGCGATTTTTGATCGCGTGCCCTGAAAATCGAGTCTAAAAATCTATCTCCTCCTACATTTTTTGAGCAATCACCCTCAAACTTTCAGGATATGTTCTAAGGATCATTTAGAAGAGATTGTCCGGGCAAAATTTTAAGATAGGCCTTTATTCGATTTTTAAAATCTTGGACATACTGCGAACTTGACGCCTCCCTCTTCCTGCTTGCCGCTACCATCGCTCTCTTCGGACTTTTCTACTAGTTTAACGTTTGAAGATAGACAGTAGACACATGTTATTATAAATCTTCTGAAACAAACAACCCGTCCCATCACTTATATCCTTCCAGAACCTTCCAGAACTTTTAAGAACTATTTGCCACAGGGTACAGTTTTGGGCCCGCTGCTTTTCATTTTGTTCATTAATGACATGAAGCTGTGCATCACAGGATGTGTCATTAGATTCTTTGCTGACGATACACGGATTTTGAGGCACATCTATACACTTGATGATGCAAGTATACTGCAAAATGATCTCAACTCTGTCATTGACTGGGCAAGATGCAATAACATGTCATTGCATGAGGATAAATTTGAGATACTCGTGCACAAACACTGTCCCCGAAACAGCTTGCAAGACCTCCCGTTTGCCATCCTGACGCAAACTTATCAAGTTTCGCATGGTAACATAATGTACCCTACGGATGCAGTCAAAGACCTGGGGGTTTTGATCTCGGCGGACTTGTCTTGAAGCTCACATGTTACTATGATAGCAGATCGTGCCCGTAAAGTTGCCTCTTGGGTTCTGAGCGCTTTTAGATCGAGAAACAAGATCACTATGCTGACCCTCTACAAGTCATTAGTCAGAAGCCATCTCGAGTACTGTTGTCCCCTCTGGAATTCAACTAAGCAAGCTGATATCGCTGAGCTAGAGGGAGTACAACGTACATTTACGTCCAAAATACATGGTGGGCAACATCTGAACTATTGGCAGAGACTGAAGGCCTTAAAATTGATGTCACTTCAACGGAGGAGAGAACGTTACACTATCATTCATATGTGGAAGATCCTACACAAGAAGTGTCCTAATGATGTCAACGTTCAGTTTACAGATACACTCCGTTATGGCCAGAAAGCAGTAGTCCCTAGCTTGTCAACGTCCAGTAGCCAAAGGAATCAATCGATCTTTGACAGCTCATTTGTAGTGATGGGGCCTCGATTGTGGAACATCATTCCCGCAAACCTGCACCTTATCGAGGACCCCCTAGTCATTGTTGACGGAGTTTGTTACATCTATTCCGGACGAACCTCCTGTTACTGGATATTGTTGCCAGAACGGGAATTCGTTATTGAACTGGAGCGCAGAAAAGACAGCAACTTCGCTGCACGGGTGGTCAGCCGTTCTGATGACCCGATAGAGGATCTATGAAGCAACCCCAAGTAACCCAAGTAAGTAGAACCTTCCAGAACTTTTCAGAACCTTCCAGAACTTTCCAGAACCTTCCAGAACTTTTTAGAACATTCCAGAACTTCTCTCTCTCTGTTCTGGTCAACGGTTTCTGGCCTCTTACTAAAAGATGGAGGCCTTCTCACCGTGCCCACAGAATGCAACTCCTGCTAGCTGCACGCCAGGACTCCCAAAGTATATACGAAATCATAAAATAATAAATATCAATGCAACAGACCCCTGGAGTCTTGAAGCTGTCACTACCTGTCTCAGAGCAAACCCACTTCCGTTGTAGTACTTCTGCGGGCAGACAAGGGACTTCCGAGCAAGGTCAAAGCCTGGGAGATATGTCTCTATGCGGAGATGGGCCTAGGTTGAGTTCCTAGTATGGGATTTAGCGAAAGTTCCTGGTGAAGAATCCTAGGAGGTTAC